CAGAGCTATATTTTCCCCAGAAACAGAGATCAGAGTGTAATGTTAAAACCATAGATTTTCATAGTCCCCCAAGCAGTATGAGGGTACTATTATCTGAATAGGCAAATGAGAAGCAGCTTCACAAGGTCCAGTATATTTTCTCAATTATGCCATCAGAGATTAAACTCTGCATATATCCCAGCCAATATTTTAGTAAGAGTGTTTTAAAAAAATTTTTTTAAACATCAGCACACAATTGCCAAACTTCTTCATAAGTAATTTTTTTAAAATTTTCCTTACCAAGGTCTTTCATCTCATAAAATAGCTGTATGTCGAATATAATAGCTTTCTCTTCATAGGAAAAAAAAAAAACGTCTAGATATCCGGCAAGTTAAAAATGTCTCCAGATTCTGGGTGTTTATGGAGCATTTCCATCAGGGTGCTTGTTTATTCTGGATTCATTCCAGGACACAGATTCGGACCTAGATGGCTGCCGTTGACAAGAGAACAATGTATGACTGATCATGTGAGATTATTCCGATCACAAAGTACCTACACAGTTTATTTGTGTACTGGGGCTACTCAGGAGCACATATAAAATGTCCTCAACTTTCAAACACTTTGCTACCAAGAGGACAAACAGAAACGTTAGGCTGTGAGACAATGCTCGACTTTCTCAGAAGGTTCAAAAGGTTACAATGAGCTGCTCCCTTTCTCAGCCTGCCTGTGTGCCGGGGATTTCGTTTGCAGTCGTCAGTCCATTAGTCCTTAGTCCCTTAGCACAGAGTTTGATAAATCTTCCTGAGTTTAAACTTTGTTAAAACTTTCTGAATTCGGTGCCCAAAATCCTGAAGAGGAGAAATGCAGCATCAGGCCAGAATAGAAGGTATTCACAGCTTATGTTGGTCTTTGTAGGAATACTGCAAGATCTTTGCTATATCTCAGGAGAGATTGCTGAAATATATGGGATTTCTATCACGAAATTGCCGGTGGCAGAAGATAAGGCTGTGCTTTCCCCACGTTTGCAAATCAGCTTTGAACTGAACTCATAGCGTTTGTGCACATTTCAGTATCAGTTTCTCAAAAGCACTTAAAGGTTTTAAATGTCTTTGTACTAAAGTCATTAGGACTCATGCAAGGAACCTCTCCAAGCAGCCATGAAAATTTCAACTTTAGTAACCAATTTTTGCAGCACTTCATGGAATTATCTCTTGTACAGAAACCTGAGAGAGAGCAGATCCCAAATGCATGGAATTTCCCTGCATTCTCCACTCTCCCCTTACAATGTTCCTTTCTCCCTGTTGTACAGCATTAGCATGCAAACCCATGTATTTTCATTGCAAAAAAAATGCTTGGTGATGAAATGCTTTATCTAAAATCAGTGAGATCAAGATTTAAATGAAATTAGTAATGTAGAAATTAAGCAAAAATCCCAATTTTTTTGTGTTCCTCTTGCTCTAAATTGAATTTTTTTATGGATTCTATTGAATGCAGTCCGAAATGTCTGATCATGATTAAATTAAAAATCTCTGGAACTATTTGCATTTAAAATGTGGTTATTCTTCGAAGTAATTGTTTCCTCTTAGATTGTAGTGTATTTATTCCTTTCAGGAGGATACAGATGGTAAGAAATCTTTTTTTATAGTGTTTAACTCAAAATATAATGAATAAATGGAAGGACATCAAAGCAGAAAGCTTTCTGCTTCTCCTTCATATTTTCTGCAATACGGATTTGACTGCAAACTGTCAGCAATTCTTCTGAGAGTAATCTACTTTTTAATCTACTATAGATCCATGAATGAAATATAGTACAAACTTTATCCAGTGTTACTCAGCTGATAGAGAAGGTTATTTTAAATAATTGTCTAAATGCTTTTAGATAAATTCATCACAGCTCAAGAGCTTGTAGGTTACACAAATAAAATAAAGAGAAAATAAAGTATTAGAGATGAAAAAAAAATTGCAGAAACCATTGACTGCCAACATCAGAATGTGGTCAGGACTGCTAATACACAGCTAATACACATCCATTTCCTCAAAGCTTGGGTATCTCTAGTGGACTCAAAGACAAAAGTTTGATATGAAAGGAAATGTATTCAATAGAAAGTAAAGAAAGCGACAGATAAACTGAATGATAAATGTATTGAATAAGTCTGGATCTTATGTGGTAAAGCTTAAATTTTGGAATGCAATATCAACTGTAGAATATTTAGCTGCCAGATATTCAGGAATGTGTTTGTAGAAGTGGTTTAGAGAGATTTCATAGAATTCAGTAGGATGTCAGTGCATTTCCCAGTTGTGCCAGTAACCAGCAGTCCACCATGCCCTCTAGACATCCACCATCTCCATGAGTTTCTAGTGTGAGTAACATGCTGGGCACTGAATATATTTTTTGCCTCATAGTATAAGATTAATTATAACAACTCACTGTGTTTCATCCTTGTCGGGATTCGTATCAGTGCCTGTGTAATGAGTCTTGACTGGTCCCCCCACCTTCCCAACAGCTGGTGACCAGAGCACGGGGGATACACCTTACTTGCCATCAGACAATGTGCCCAGATCACTCTGAATGCATAAGAATATGTGCAGTTCCCCAGGGTGATAGAAGTGAAAGCACATTTTTGCCAGTGGAAAAATTCTGTTGCAAAGCAACACACCGAACCTTGTTTTTTGAAACTGACTGTTTGCTTTGCCTACAAAGTGAAGAAATTACGGGTGTGATTCAGCTTCTCCTGACTGCACACTTGCTCGGTGACTTATGTAAAGGGCAAAGCACAGCTCTGATGCTAAAGAAGAAAGATCTGAGTTCTGGATTGCCTCTCTTAGGTCAGCTAGATTATGAAATTGTCATACTGTTATAAATACAAGATTCCCTAAGGTTTTTTTTTTTTTTGTAGCATTTCATGTCTTGCCTCAGGCTTGATAGTTGCAATGTACAGGGCAGAGCAGACAGAGATAGGTCACTGACCCGTACCTTAGAGTACAGACTCCCAGTGCCATCAAAGATTATCCGTTAGATGACTACTTTTGTCTGACGGGTAAATTCATTTTTAACCTCAAGTCTTCCACAAGAGGCAGTTGAAGTGGTGTCTTGATTGTAATACAGGTCTTGCATTATTATGACATGCAAGGTCTGGCAAAGCAATGTAAAATTATCTTGCTTTGATTCAGAAATCTCACTTCCCCTATTTAATTTTAAGATAATGTTGGTTATTTCCTTTCTCTAAATAGCATTGAGCAACACCCATGCTTGCTAGTTTGACATCCAGCAACTGCATGCCACCAGAATTGAGAGACCCAGAAAACATCCACTCTGTGCAATACAGCATGCTGCAGGTCTTCCTGAGAGCCTGCAGGATCAGCAGAAGTACTGCTTCAAAGCTCTGCATGGACACATCAAGTCAAGCCTGGAAGGGCCATAACTACATCCCTGGGGATATGTGCTGCCCTGTGGGACTTGATTCAGTGGTGAGCTGACCTGGCTCAGCCAGAGAATAGTGAGCTGCTACTTCCAATTTGAGCTCCGCAGGCAAAGCAGATACATCATTTTATATTTTATAGAATATCACCTCAGTATCGAGCTGTCCTCACCCAACCTGCTTTGTATCTCACTCCATAAATATTACCTCCTAAATCACTGGTGGTGATATTGCCACTTGTGATTTAAGCAACAAATGCTAATACCACTCAGAGCTGTTATATCGCTCCTTCAGATGAAACCATATTTATATTCAGGAGGAAAGTGCTGCAAAGTCCATATGCATGTTTATGCCAAAATCATTACATAGGAAAGGGAAGAAGCACCCTATAAGGACATTATTTTCACTGTCCTCAGTAACAGAAAACATGATATCCAAACCATTGAGTCTGAAGCTTCTTTGTGCTGCTCTTAAGAATGGTGCCAGAGAAGCAAAATGCCTGCTAGAAGCAGCAGCTGCAGCTAAAATGGTACAACACAGCCCAGAAACTGAGACCCAAAATGCAACAAAAGAACCAGTTATAACAGCTGCAAAACCAAAGCCAAGCAGTGGGGCATGACAGCCTCTCTAGCTCACAGAAGTCATGTCATACCAGTTGTGCTCCAATATTGCACAAGTGAAATTGGTCATGAAACCTGATGACCACAACTCTGTTGTCATTCCCCAATTAAAATGTTCCCAGTTCCCTTACCCCAGTAATAAAACGTATTTGCAAACTGAACTTGCATTGCAATCTGCTTTGCTCAGCACAGATTGTGCTGCAGCATTTTCCACCAGCCTATATGCAGTAGTGCTAGCTTCACTCCAACAGCAAGTCTTATCTCCTGATCCTAAAAGCAGATACCCAAGCCTAGTTATCCGAGCTCCTTGCACCATCACAGACATCAACAAAACTCTTTTCCAGCTACATTTCTGACCTGGAGACAAAGCTGAATTTGAACCCAGATCCACTTGGTATGCATCTTGTGTAGGATGTAAGCCTGCATGTCAGCACAGCTAAAAAAGGACTGGTGAGAGAACCACCACCACATCCATTCCCCAACACAAGAAAGATGTGGAATTGTTGGAGCAAGTCCAGAAGATGTCCGCAAAGATTATCAGAGGGCTGAAGCACCTCTCTTGTGAAGAAATGGTGACAGAGTTGGGCTTGTTCAGCTTTGAGAAGAGATGGTTCCAGGGAGACCTCATTGCAGCCTTCCAGTACTTAAAGGGAGTTTATCTGATCTAATAGTGGTAGGAGGAGGGGGAATGGCTTTATGCTAAAACAAGTCAGAAAAATTAGGTTAGATGTTAGGAAGAAATTCTTTACTCAGAGGGCAGTGAGGTACTGGCACAGGCTGCCCAGAAAAGCTGAGGATGCCCCATCCTTGAAGTCATTCAAGGCCAAGTTGGGTGGGGCCCTGGTCAGCCTGATCTGGTGGAGGGTAGCATGCCCATGGCAGTGGGGATGGAACTGGGTGATCTTAAAGTCCATTCCAACTTAAGCCGCTTTATGATTCTATGATTCATACTACATCTGTGCAAGGTCCAATTCCTGAATCAATGCAATGTGAATGGGCTGGGTGCATTTCCTCTGCTCCTGAAATACTAGTATGAGGCTGCAAGGATTTGTGGGCATCGTGAACGTGAGTTTTCATTAATCTATTCTTTTATAATATTCAAGATTTCAGATATGACTGAGAAAATGTAATAGATGCTGATGGCTCCGTGCATGTTCAGATTTACTCCCTGATTTGGCACACAAAGGTCAGTGTAAAAAGAGAATTTCTTTTTGGCGGGAAAAAAAAAAAAAAAAGGAACAAAGAAACAGCAAAAACAAAAACACGGAGTATGAATTGCCCAAGTCTTTGCCTCTTTCATCTTCGCTTTCTTTTCTGGCTAGACTGTAAAATCCTGAAGGTTGCATGTCTCATTCTGTGTTTCTACAGTGCCTAGCAAAATAGAGCTGAGGCTCTCATATCCTATCTCATCTCCTATCATAAGAGTAACACAAAAATCTTCTGTCTGGTGTCTGAAGTTCTCCTCCAACACACTTTTTTTTTTTTTTGGTAGCAAAGAAATAGAAAAAAAATTCTGCCTGCAACCAGGTAATGAAGGGTGGAAGTTCTGAGTTCTCATTTGAAGTAATCCGAAAGTGGAAGAAATTGTGTAAGTTGTCCCTTTGTCTCCAAGAGTCCTCTAGGGCAATAGAATCTAGATAAAATGCTTTGTTTTTCTTATTGCAAAACTTCCTCTGGTTCCAGATGGCTAACTGGCCCTGTCAGCAGAAGCATAGATGTACACGTAGTCTGTTGGTTTCTGGAGAAAATGATCTCTCTAATGAAATCAAAAGAGATTCATTCAAAATGATAGAGAATGGAAAAAGATGAAAGATGCTAAATAAGCTTTAATAGGATATGCACAGAATTTGACTTCTTGTCATCAAAATAGAAGATATCTGGTCTGAAAGAGTCACAAAATAATTCTGAAAATTATCATCAGACCTGATGGAGACAGAAAGGTAAAATTCAGCCAAGCAGGCAAATCTGATCTTTACCCAAAAGTACATCTAACACATACTGGGAGCACTGCCCCTGTTTAATCAGACTATGCAAGCCAAATCCAGCTTAAAAGATTCCCTATCAATTTATTAAATTTGGCAGATGTCTCAACAAAGCACATTGCACCAAACTCTGAGTTACGTCATTGCCACTAGAATGAAAAATGTAATAGAATGGCACTGAAATTACTGAGGGAAGCATTTGTCATTTTATTTGTGAGAAGGAAATAGTTTTGCATTGCTCTCAAAGAGGGTAAATAACTAATCTGTCTCCACACTTCTACACACAATTTCTTATCATCCTGCTTTCAGCTGGGACAGAATTTCTTTTCTTCAAAGTGTCTGGCATGATCCTGTGTTCTGGTTTATGTTTTAGTATCCTTTCTATTACTTCTCTCTTCCTTCTCTTTCTTAGTAAAACTCAGCCTATGAGTTTTACCTTTTTTTCTTTTTTAAGTTTCTCTCCCCAAGCTATGGGCAAGGGAGGCCTGTGTGAAAAGCTGTGTGATGTTTAGCTGCTTGTCAGTTCAAACCACAACACTTACCTGCACACATCTTTCACATTATTTCTGTGACTTTAGAAGGGCAGACTCACATCTCAATAACATGATCAGCGCAGTTACGGAACTTGCTTAAGGTTTCCACTTACCACTAGTAGATCAAGGTATGAATATTGGCCTTCTGTGCTCGTTAGAAGTGCATCAAAAAGGACTGGCACAGTAACTGGTCTTGAAAATAGAGAAAAATAGAATAGTTGAATCACCACGTTTGAAAAAGATCTTCATTATTATCCAGACCAATTGTCCACCTATCAGCAATATTTCCCACTAAACTGTGTCCCTCAGTACAACGTTGGAAAGTTTCTTGAACACCTCCAGGGTTCCACCACCTCCGTGGACATTTGAAGCGGTGTACAAGGCAGCTGAATAATTAATGCAGGCACAAGAAGTATGTCAAGCCACATGTTTAACTCTATCAACAAAATAACTAATTAGACAATGCTCTTTTTTCTCAGAAAACATAGCTAAAGAAGAGTTGCCAATAATTAAAACTATTTTTTGCTTGTGGCACAGACCTCTTTCAAAATGTTGCAGCATATCAACATTTCAAGAGGGATCTTAAAAGTAAAGGAGAGACTGTTGTTTACAGCAGAGTTCAAATCAGAGCTGGAAGGAAATCTTTTAAACAGCAGTTTTTGTATAAATGGCCCTTAGCTATCTTAGAGCTATATTAGCTCTTTCAGCTTCCACATTCTTCCTAACTTCAGGCTTTTAGTGAGAAAGGCACCATAAGCCCAGATGAAAGCAACTCTGAATTCTTTATGGTAACTAAACATATTTTGTTCATATAAAATGCTTACTTCTCTCTCAAAAGACCATAACATATGCTCACAAAAACATAACCATTAGACAAATAAGTAGGATGTTGTTGTACAATGTTGTACAGTGCACATAACCATGACGTGCTAAAGATAATTTGAAACATTTCGTTAAAATAACAGGACCAAATTCTCAGAGTCCATGTCTAGATCTGTCTGGTGAAATGTGAATTTGTAGAGCTTCTCATCATCAACAGGATCCTACATTTACCTTCAAGACTGTAACATATCTTGACTGCAAAGTTTTCTTGAATATCTAAATAGTAACTACTGGGGAAAATGGCTCATTATTTTGACATATGTGTAATATTAAATTGTTTATTACCTAGTTAGTATCCACATTTTCTCACACATCAATAACTCATGATACACTGGGAATATTCAAAGAGCTCCAAAAAAATTCCATTACTGTGATTCAAGTAAAAAGTTGTACTTCGATGATGTTCATGGAGCAATGGTTGTTTCCACTTTGTCCATACAGGGAGTTAGGCCTCCAGCACTGGTTACCTGAATCTTTTTAAATGCCTGGATGTGTTAGTCTCCTGCCCACTGTTTCTGAACCTCACTACAAAAGCTTGTCTAGCTGAGTGTGAAACTTTATCGTGACACAGATAAGTGTATTAATCTAGCATTTTTAAAAAGTGCTACGTTTGAGGTCTCCAAATCTTAAAATTATGTTTCACAAAGAGATTTTTATTTTGTGTGCATGCTTTTTTAGTTACTTGATTATGCACAGTGAAGTTTTCTGTCACATTGTTTCGCTGCCTAAGTGTAATTTTCCTCCTGAAAGGAGAGAATGTATAAAATGTGTGTAAGAAGCATTTTCTGAATTATTGCTCAATATGTTCAGTGATGTGGCCTGAAATACATTATGACTTGAAGGAAGGAGAAGTTAGAGTATGTCAGAATGATTCTGATTTGATGTCTGGATTTATGACAGTGGCATGACTGAAAGTGTCAGAGCTCCATGAAGGTTATGATGAATTTAAGGGACTGAAATTTAGTTCTTGGTGATTTTGTCAAACACTTTACTGGAAAGAGATAGGACAAAATTTAGTATCTACTTCAAAATTCATGTTATAAGTTATTTCTTGCAGATGTAGTATTTAATAACTTAGCACTATTGCAATTAAAAAAAAATTTTAAAAGTAACATATTTACACATTCTTCCAAAATTCAAGCTAACAGGCTTGCAAGTAACCACAGAGATGCTAGTAGAGATGCCTGTACCTCATCCACAAAAAATGAGGAAAATATCCACAACATCTTCTGAACTAGCAAAATTCCAATTCACAGCACCTTCTCACTGGAGTTAGCAGGGCAAGACAAAAATACACCAAAGTTAGCAAAAATATTTCAGCTCCCAGTGGACAAAAGAAAAATCAGACCTTGTATGTACACAAAGCAACAAGCAGTGACCTGTGTTTCCTGTCTCACCCCTATTTGGACTGTTCACAGAAGAGGTAACTTTGCTATGACTTTTGATATTCCAGCCTGCAGTCATCAGCTAGAGAACTGTGTGTTAAGAGAGATGGCTGGCTGAAGGATATGTGCAGCTGGGTGGAGAGAAGCAAAACAAGGTAAGATCATACAAGCTGAGAATGTGTTTATCACTTCATATGTAATGCCCAGGTGCTTAAAGAAAATAAATAATGACAGTCCCTGAAAATCTTGCATTAGCCATACAATTGTCAACTCTGATTATTTTATCAAGTAAAACGTATGTGTTTCATCACAATCACACCTTCATGCAGGCCTCAAATAGCGGATATGTAATCCGCAATTTATTATCTCTGGGTTAGTAACTCAGGGACTTGTAAAACAGGAAATAATTAATCTAATAGTAGATTATGATAAATTATTTTTGCAGTGTGGCACAGAATGGTTGTTACTTCAGAGTAGAATACAGCTCAGTAGGATAGGGAAGCTACAATAAGATGTCTGTTACATAATCCTGCATCTTTTTTTTTTATACTGAAAGATGTGATTAAACAAGAGATCTTTCATTTTTATATTGAATGAACTGAAGCAAATAAGCAGATGGGAGATGGGAGGAAAACATAATAGACTCAGATACTGCTACATACTACCAGTATAGGAATATTCTCTAACAAAATAAAACAATGAACTCCAGCTTAATTCTGTTAATGAGCACTGTAATGGGGAAAAATGCTGTTGAATTGCATCGTGAAGATGTAAAATTGACGTATGTATTGAATGTACACTATGGTATGAAAGCAGAGGGACAGATTTTATTCCAGATTTGCATAAACATTCCCTGGGAGATTGAATCTGACAATGCCAAATCCATTTGCCATGACAGAGTTATGAGAATGGGGGAGTAAAGCACAGACTTTGCTGGTGAAACCATCACAGCCTCAACTGGAAAGAGAGTTGGAGCCTATGGAAAGGGAACAATGCATTCCTTCCAAAAGGAAGGTGGGGCAGGCTTCTCCCTTTTTTACAGAGCCGCATGTTTTCACACCCAGAGATGATGTTTATGCTGGGCTTCAATGGCAGATTTTCAATTTGCTTTTTGGGGAATGTCTCAGGAATGGGAAAGGGCCCTTATTATGGTAATAGCTATGCTGGAGGTACACCTCCAAAGGGATCTGCATGCATGAAAATCCAGAAATTTGGCAAGGGTTTTGGGCAGAGTAACTGCAGCACTGAGAAAGGTGATAGCTTAAAAGGAAATAGCAATCTGATGTGTAATCAGGCTGGGATCCTTTATTTTTACCCACAAAAGAACCAATCACTGTTATCAGAACTGACCACAGCACGCTTTTTCAGCAGCAGCAGCAGCAGCATTAATAAATAAAATAGACTGCCATCTTCCTGTTTTTAAACTGGATTTCCCTAAATGTATCTTTTCACTAACATCTTGCCCTCTTTCTACAGATTTTAATACAATCCCTTCACAGTACTTATTCTTTCACAATTTTCATATGAAAGTTATCATCAAAAGAGGAATGAAGAGCAGAGGAAAATAACTGAAAAGAGAATGGCCTGATTCTTGTACAATAGAAGAGCTGTGTTAACTTGCCGGAAATTCCATTTTCTTCTCTTTCTCTCAAAACCATGTACAAATTAGACATTTACATGATAGATGAGTATGTTCCTTTCTTAGGGAAAGTATTCCACTGGAACTCAGGGCTCGGATAAGTTCCATGTAATGTGGCCGTTGCCGAGGAAACTACTTGTTCTTAATTGAATAGTAGAGAAAATATTTGTGTAACTTATTGGCACATAAATTAAGGTTGCCCTTGAGCAGCCTTAAACTCACACAACCTTCTTTTTTAACCAAATTGTCCTAGTTTCTTCAATTTTCTTTTAATGCACAAACATCACTGAAGAGTTACAGGATGCCAAGGGCCTCTTCTCCAGCCCAAACCACAGTTAAAGTAGCATGGTTACTTAACTTCAGCATCTGAAAGAGAGTAAGCTTGATTATTACATAGAAGATGAGGATGTAATGTCAGAAAAGTACAAGCTAAGCAGGGAAAAGGTAATAAAATAAACTGCCACTGATAAGACTCCTCCCAAAGAGAATGTCACATCTCCAGCCATAGTGGTGTCAATAACCTCAGTTCGTCTACAGCAATGTAGCTCCTCTGAAGTCAATAGACTCATGCTGATTTACATCTGCTGAGCCTTTTATTTGTGATGGTTGTTTTTTTTTTTTTTGTCTTCCCTGTGTCACCAGTTCTTACTATTTATTCAAATTAGTATCGGTTTCTGAAGGACAAAAGAAGTGGTTTTCTAAAACAAGGATTGTCTTTCATGCAAAGCCCAAAAGAACATAAAATCCCACGACAGGCTTGTTGAGTTAAACAGTCCTCTGTTGCTGCTGATGAACTGGAGCCAGAGACTTTGCACAGATACTGAGCAGGGGAAGAAATCTGACCTGTGTGAACCAGATCACCTTAACTTTCCTTTTCCCATGTGCCTCCTTCCCTGGATGCTATTGGAAAAAGTAAGGGCATCATGAACTCATCCTGACAGATGTGGAAAGTGCATGTTCAATTGAGTATTCTTCAGGTGATTAAGAATTCTTCAGGTGTTAAGAATTCGCTTACCATCTTGCTCCTTAACAAGAGCGGTCAGTAGGGAGATCTCTGACAACCTAATAATAAATTCTACTGTTCCAAAAAGAATGTGGTTTTCTTCATTTATTTTTCTTTCTCATACACAGGATGCTGATCAACTTTCATCTATAATATTTCAAAATTGTAACATTCATTTAATTCAAGTTTATCTGGAGTTTATTTCCTCAATAAGGAGGCAATAAAATGAGAGTGATTAAGCTGTGAAATTTTTAAGGAACCAGGCAATACTACAAAGCATTAAACTAAACTATTTCTCTCTCTCTAGGTAAATTATGTTCTCTTCACTCATGGTCCTACTATTTTGAAGTGCAGGAATGGTTCTTCCATTTGTCAGGTCCTGCATGACAATCAGATTCTATCATTATCCTGGGCCACAGGATCCCTAGGACACAGCTGTTATATTAGATGCCTGAAAAAATAATAGGCCACTGTAATACTTCCCATGTAGACCCTTGCCACTAATTGATTTCATTTTGCTAATGAAATATGGCTTTTAAAGTTAAAATAAAAAGCAGATTCTTATTCAAGTGATTTCTCTTTCTTCTAACAATGTGGGAGGATGGTGGGTAGCGTGATATCCTTTCAGTCAACAGTGAGTATATTCAGATATAGTGAATATATTCAGGCAGCTAAGGATAAATGTTGGTTAATTCAAGGTTCTGTGCTTGACAGATAAATCCTCTGAATAAAGATGTGGCAAGATACTACGAGACCAAGGTAGGGAGCCCAAACAGCATCATATAGGTGACCCTGTCATTTAAGCTGAACTTGTACTGATAATGGTCCTTAACAAGCTGTCAGTCCTAAAGGAGAGCCTTTTGTGCCTTCTCCCTGATGCTTTTGTATTCGCTTACTCGATGGCCACAAATCAGCTCTAGCTGAGTTGCGGTCAATCCTAGGGCAGCTTGGGAAAGATGATGCTTCTTTCTCCTTGTATTCCTTGTGCTTTTGCTTTTTCCCCCTTTCTTTGCCTTTCACTGATGCACAAATCATAAAAATTGCAGGCTGGGGGTCAAGCTGCATAAAACAAGCAGACATAGGTTTCTTCTTTGTTTCAATGCAAAGCATGGATGGGAGGAGGGAAACTGCTGTTTCACTGAGATAATTGCCATTAGAGTAGAAAATCCAGAAGCATCCCAAGATAACAGAAAACACATTGCCAGAAAGTGTTTTTCAGTCACTAGGAAATCCAGATGGGTTTCTTAATACCTGCTGAAGAATAGTAGCAAACTATTCACTAAATAATTAAGTTTTCCTCCACTTTTCCCTCCTTTCGTGTTTAATGAAAAAAATAAATACCATGCTGAGGACCAGAAAGGAATCTGCAGTATTGGAAAAGCTACCACAAAGCCCAGTACTCCCAAAACCTCATGGCCAGCTGGTAAATGAAGGGTGGATATCTTGGCCTTCCTCCATCATTCATTCATGTCTGCTGGTGAAGCTGCTCCTGGATCCAAACAACAAATGTGTAGAGTGAGAAGTGTAAAGCCTTCCTGGAATAAGGATGCTGGTACCAGCTGTGCTTTCAGATCTATGTTCTATTTATTCAAGGCGCAGTGACACAGAGTGTGTTTCTCTGTTCTGCATATGAACCTTGATCTGAGGCTCATCTCAAGACTGGACTTGTTCACTGTCTATGATCCATCCCTTCACACATCATATATAAAAGGACATCATGCTGTAACCACCAGCAGGCTGTGGAGAGGGCTCGTCTCATAGGCTCAAAACTGCCTGTTAATACAATGTAGGGGGGGAGTCAAGCACAGGGCAGCACAATCTGCTTTGATCCCTGTCTGTAGACAGGCTGTAGGTAGCACTGTGGGTAGATGGCATGGAAATTACAGACTGCAGGATCATTAGCATGGTGATCTCTTTCACTTGTATATGCTTATAGCATATACAAGTCCTGTGCCACCCAATTCTGACCTCAGAGCAAAGCTGCAACTCTGCAGCATCGCCACCATGGTGGCACACAACAGCAAGGGTCTGACTTCTGCTCAGCCTACATAGTCTCACTTGTTGAAAAGCTTTGGGATACCTTCAGATTGCCTTGAGTGGAACTGAGTCATAGACTGTGGTGGTAACTGCAGTACTGGTTTACTCAGTGACAGCTCTCTTGACATTTCACTCGTCTAAAATCCCAGCTGTAGAGAAGATTGAAGACTTCAGCAGCTGGTACTTATTTTGAGAGGAGGAGAGAAAACAATCCTTTTCTTGAAGGGTTCTTACCCAACGTTTTTGTAGACACCACATGCCTGCTCCCTTAATGACAGGGTAGAGGGACATGGAGATCTCTAAAATACAGCTGAGTTTGAGCTGGAATTCGAATGTTTTTTTGTTAGTTATCAGTATTTTTGTATTCTCTGTCACCTCTGATGTAATGATCAAGAAAAAAAAAGTAAAACATCATCTGAACACCAAAACAGAGGAAGGTGGACTTGCAGATTAAACACATGTGGCTTTCTCTGCAC